ACACACACACACACACACACACACTTTAAAGACACAAATATAGCAGCACTGAATCATCGGCAGTCGACACCAGAGGAAGACGGTTGCTCTTTTTCTCTCATCTATAGCCGGCGTTAACCGAGGCGATCACAAACAGCAGATGTCAACTTATGCAACAGCACATCCCACTTCCACTGCACCCAGGAAGTTATAAGACGAATTCAGTCATAAATAACTTCAGCAGTTTCCATCTCTGCTCTTCCTGCTGGAGAATTTCAAGGGCCTGTTCCTCATTTCACCACAGAAGATCCTCTCATATGTAAATGTGGGTGTTGAACCCACCTCTGCACACATGTAGGTGCACGATCAGAGGATTCAAAGACAGACACACGTGCGTGCAGACGAACGGATACGCATCTCGGTAGGAAACAGCTATAGTCAGAAGCGAGTTAGCCCGAGAGGCTGCCGGTCGGACTCTCTTCCTGTTCACCAGAGCAAAGAGGCTGCAGAGCAGAGAGGGGATCGGTGGACTGTGGCGTTTTGTCATGGCTGCCAGGTGTCAACCCGCCGTTTGCAGGAAGTTGATAAAGCTTGTGTCACGTCGCAAAAAACCAGGCGACCAAATCAATGCCTGAGAGACAGTGTGAGGGCCGGCACCACTAACTGCACCCTGGCCCAACAATAATATTACTGAAACAGATTATGCATGTGAATATTAAGAAACTGTAATAGTGACTTTGAAGGCTTCTGGTTTCTGTTGTAGTTTGATCAATCACAGGCTTGGATTGCACGCGGATATTTTTTAAATTGTATGTATTAAATCGCATTCACAGCTGTTGATAGATAAAATATCACCAACAAGAAGTATCGTTGTTTGTGTTTTCTGCGGATAAATGTTCGACTTGTGTTCTCAAAGACAGTTGTCGGACTGAACAGTGTAAAGCAGGGGCGCCAATTATTTGCCGTCGCCCCCTCGAGATGACAACCTATGGGCTCCGAGCTTGTACGCTCACAGACGTTACCTGAGTCCGTCAAGACAAAAAGTCTTTTCTTCTTCTGTCCTTCCAGATGCAAAGAAGCAAAAGAAGGAAGGCAAGAAGCGAGACCGCACCCAAATGGACTGATGAGGTCGTCTCCCCGCGGGAGGGAAGAAGAAGAGGGTGGGAAAAAAGTCCACTGCCCTGTTTCAACACGGTTCCTCTTTATACGTCCTGTAGGTTTGACAGTAGGAGCCAATAGTGGAAAACCAGTGGAAATATGACTTCTAGTGACAACGTGTTTTACTTTTCCTTCTTTTCCTTCTAGCACCTGATGAGATACAACTTGTGTGTGTTTGCTATAGGAGATATATATATAATACTCAGTGGTAGGGACAAATAATGAGTGCGGAGATTTGTTTACTAGTGTTCTCACCTAATGATGTTATGGCTAGGAGTATTTTTCTGAAGAACAAATTGGATAGGATTTGTATTACAGCTGCAGAGCCTAACTCTCATCTGGTCCGTGCGGCAACTTAATGAGGCAGTTTGTGAAAAGTGAAGCTCTGAACCATCTTTGCTTAATTAATTTGGGCAAAAGTTGTGCATTTGCAAATTTTCAAAGTTAATTGTAACTCCGATCACTCTGTGGTATAATATTTTTTTTTCATTTCCAATAAGAACAAACAACATAAGTTAGTTCTGTCTGGAGGCTGCATGAAATAACTTCTGTACGTGTGTTGTAACTGTTTTTAGTTTGTTTTTTCCTCCTGCTGCTCTGTTGTACCTCAATTTATACACTGATTTTTACTCTTCCAGCTTCCGGCTGTAAAAAAAAAAAAAATTAAAACCCCTCACACAATTGTAGTCCTCAGTTGGACTTAACATGCCCCCTTTTGGTCCCTGTTACATTTCCAAAAATAAAAACGAATAAAACAAAACGTAGAGGATATCCAGAGTCTCCATTCAAAAAAACACCCCAGGATTTCAAACACATTTCATATATTTTTATTTGAATTTCATTCTGAGAGAATATGGCACAAACGTAACCACTTAATGCAGTTCATCTTACGGCGTCGCAGGTGTTCGGTGATAGTAACACTCAGGTTCATTACCCAGAACGAATAATCAAGAATGCATTTAAAAAGGAAAATCAATACCGTTGTTACTGTACAGGAAGTATCATAGCGGGAGGGGGGAGAGGAGAATAAATGGGGGAGTCTTTGTGGGGGAGGGAGGTAAACATTCAGATAGTAGCTATTAAACACGTGTATGTACATTTCAAATGTACCGCATCCGAATTACATATAATGTATTATCTTATATACAAAGCAAACAATAGACTTTAATTTATTTCTCCTATAGCGAGAGAAGCCACAAGCCACAGTGAGTGAATCCACAATGAACACCTACATACAGAAGTAAGTGAAAGATGAACACGTGTATGTTACATTTAACACTTGCAGCAGGCTACTGGTTTTTCCTTTTTTTTAAATTTTTTTTGTACATTTTTCAGTTTTTTTTTTCCGTTTGCTGATTTTGTTTTAAATCCACGTGTGACCCTTTAAAGTTCAGACGAGGCCAAAGAAAAGGAAAAAGTTCAAACTGCAAACGTTATGAAGTGGAAGCAGGCGGGCAGCTTCCTCGTAAATTTACAGGTGGAATAATAACAACAACAAAAAAACAAAACTCAAGCCCCAGCCTCTGGGCGCTGAAGATAGTTCTAGGCTTCATCCTTCTCCCAGATTTGTTTTTCTTCTTCTCCGGCTGCAGAAGTCGCTGTGGAAGTCGCCTGAAACGCTCCGAAGCTTAAACGTCTGGATCCTGTCGCTCGTTTCGCGAAGGCAGGAATCCACGTCCGAGCAAATCACCCCTCCAGAAACCCACGTATTTATATTTCCTACCATTATAATCACTTTCACTTTCAAAAGCCCACATTTTTTATACTCATCTTTAAATAATTCATTTTTTAAAACAACAAAATCGACTCCCTGGCTGTACACTGGTAATACTCTAATTTTCAATAATACATTTTGTACTTTTTACAATGAGAAAAAAGAAGGAGATTTTTATAAAACGTGATAGAAAATGTACAATATAATGTATTTGTATGAAATCCAGGACCACGCAAATCTGTGTCTGTCTAAAGTGAGTCTTTGGAAGCTTGTTGCTTAAAGAAAGACTGTGTGAAGATGGCGGAGGAGAAGACAATCAAACACTGTGTGCATCTTTCCCTGATGTCTGCCATGGTAGTTTGTCCAATCTGATGTCTTCATGCCGAGGAGGCCATTTGGAAAAAAGTAAGAACACCACACACACACACACAAA